GAAAACAGAGCGGGAGGGAGCAGTCCCCCTCCTACCTGCCGAGGCTGGCACGACCCCGACCCCGACCCCAGGCAGACGCAACAAGAACACACGAGCGCAGACACAAGACTCCACACTCAGGATGGAATCCGCCACCAGCAAACCACAGGGTCATCTTAACAGACGCCGAGAAGCATCGGACAAAAACCATCCATTTGTGATAAATACCGTCCACGAATCAGGAACAGAAGAGAGCTCCCTTAGCCTGCAAAGGACACGGCAGAAAACCTTCAGTAAGCACTGCAGTGAAAGGCCAAGACCGAAAGCTTTTCTCCTAAATCGGGAACGAGGACGGGCTGTCCACGCTGCCCACTCACGCACCATGCCGGCCACACAGCAGGCTGAGAGACAGGAATACAAGACACTTATCTACAAGAAAGGAAGAAACAAGATCGTCTCTCGTTGAGACACGACTGTTTATACAAGATTCCACAGCATCACAAACAAATTATTGAAAGTGAGTTTAATAAGGTTGTGGGGTACAAAACGCAAAACTGAATTCTATTTCTACATCCTGGTAACCATGAGAAACTGAAATTTTTACAAAGTATCATTTATAATGGCCCCCAAACAATCAAATATTTAGGAGTAAGCCTCACAAAATGTGCAGGATCTATAGGCTGAGAGCTACAAAATACCTACGAGGGAAACTGTATCGTATTGTCAGATCAGAAGGCTCAGTGTTGTGAAGGCTGCAATTCTTCCCAAATGGACATACTGATTCCACAGACTTCTAATCAAAACACTAGCAGAGCGGCATCAGGGAAATCCAAATCAAAACCTCAATGAGATACCACCTCACACCAGTCAGAATGGCTAAAATGAACAAGTCAGGAAACGACAGATGTTGGCGGGGATGCGGAGAAAGGGGAACCCTCCTACACTGTTGGTGGGAATGCAAACTGGTGCAGCCACTCTGGAAAACTGTATGGAGGTTCCTCAAAAAGTTGAAAATAGAGCTACCATATGATCCAGCAATTGCACTTCTGGGTATTTACCCCAAAGATACAAAAGTAGGGATCTGAAGGGGTACGTGCACCCCGATGTTTATAGCAGCAATGTCCACAATAGCCAAACTGTGGAAAGAGTCAAGATGTCCATCGACAGATGAATGGATAAAGAAGATGTGGTATATATATATATATATATATATATATATATATATATATATATATATATATATATAATGGAATATTATGCAGCCATAAAAAACCCCAAAATCTTACCATTTGCAAGGACATGGGTAGAACTAGAGGGTATTATGCTAAGCGAAGTAAGTCAAACAGAGAAAGACATGTATCATATGACCTCACTGATATGAGGAATTCTTAATCTCAGGAAACAAACTGAGGGTGGCTGGAGTGGGGGGTGGGGTGGGAGGGATGGGGTGACTGGATGATAGACACTGGGGAGGGTATGTGCTCTGGTAAGTGCTGTGAATTGTGCAAGACTGTTGAATCTCAGATCTGTACCTCTGAAACAAATAATGCAATATATGTTAAGAAAAAAAAAAAAAGAAGAAGAAGAAGGTAGCGGGAGGGGAAGAATGAAGCGGGGCAAATCGGAGGGGTAGACGAACCATGAGAGACGATAGACTCTGAAAAACAAACTGAGGGTTCTAGAGGGGAGGGGGGTGGGAGATGGGTCAGCCTGGTGGTGGGTATTGAGGAGGGCACATTCTGCATGGAGCACTGGGTGTTATGCACAAACAATGAATCATGGAACACTTCATTTAAAACTAATGTTGTAATGTATGGGGATTAACATAAGAATAAAAAAAAAAAACCACTAGCAGAGTTTTCTTTGTGGAAATCAACAAGCTGACTGTAAAATGTATATGAAAAAGCTAGGGACAGAATCACCACAACAACTTTAAGAAGTAGCAACGTTGGAGGACTCGCGCCAGTTTCCAGACTGATGGCAGAGCCATGGTCATCGAGGGGGTGCAGTGTCGGCCAAACGGACAGACACACATCAGTGGAGAAGAAGAGACCCGCAGACGCGTGGTCAATTCATTTCCAGCAAAAACAGTCCTTTCAACAGATTATCCTGAAACAAGGGATATCGATATCCCTTTCCAAACTCCAAAGGCAACACAGACTTACACACAAAACGTGAAACTGAAACTTCCAGCAGCTGGAGGGGAATCTTTGTGACCTCGGTCAGGCAAACTTTCCTTAGACCTGGCATCAAAAACATGATCCGCAAAAGCAATAAAATCATAAATTGGACTTCACCAGCATAAAAAATCCCTGGTCTGTGAAAGATAATGGTTGGAGAATGAAGATAAGCCACAGAATGGGAGGAAACCTTTGCAAACACATCTTTGCTATAAGGGATTTGCATCCAGAAGGTATAAAGAACTCTCGAGTTTTAACAATAAAAGCAGCAGCCTCCCCAGAGCCCCCTTCCGTAGAGGACGCCCCCGTCTTTAGCCTTTAGGAGAAGGAAGAGCGAGCCATGTGCTATACTGCAGGCCGGCAGGTCTGACAACACCCAGGCCAGTAAGGCCGGCGATCTCATTCACTGCAGATGGCGCGGGCGTTCTGGGTACAGTCCCCAGTTATCGTGCATTCGGTAATCTCACGGAGTGAGAAACTGACGTGCATGCCGAAATCTGTCTGTGAACCTCTACAGTGACTTCAGTCCTCACCGCCAAGCTGGGAATGATGCAAATTCCCACCCACCGTGGTGACGGACTATACCACTGAGAACCACGCAGAGGCCGAGGAACCAACCCCCATGAACTCGGGTGCACGTGGAGCAGTCTCGCTGGGGGGGTGCGGCCCGCACTGCAGGTCTCCGTTCACGGGCCACGGTGGCGGCGGGCTGGGAGAGGACAGCGTGTGCCCGCAGCACCTGTCCTGGCCCGGAGGAGCGTGCACCAGCACGGCTGGACTCTACCATACGGAGAGGACAGCAATAAAAAGCTCATCTAATTCCCGCGTCTGCACTGAGTGCTGCCGGACGCCTCCCGAGACTGGGCTGAGAATCTGGTCAGGCCTTTTCCCGGGACTAGAGCCTGTCCTTTCTGTTCCCTAGAACAAAATGTTGTAGGTGTCCGGCAGCCTATCAGGATCCCGAAGAGGTTACCTTTTACTGGTCTCCCCCAGTCTGGAAACAACTGGAAAATTCTACCTAGATTCTAGTGAGCTACCCTGTGTCTTGGGCTTCCAGTCACTCTGACCTCGGCTGCCCTTCCTCCAGAGTGAAGACTGTTCTCCTGTTAGCATGGCAGCCCCAACCCACAAGCAAGGAGTCTACTCTGTTCTTGGTCATCTGTTCAGACTACTGAAGTGACGGGTTTTTGTTTTTTTTTTAAAGATTTTATTTATTTATTTGAGACAGAGAGAATGAGAGACAGAGAGCATGAGAGGGAGGAGGGTCAGAGGGAGAAGCAGACTCCCTGCCGAGCAGGGAGCCCGATGCGGGACTCGATCCCGGGACTCCAGGATCATGACCTGAGCCCAAGGCAGTCGCTGAACCAACTGAGCCACCCAGGCGCCCCATGAAGTGACGGGTTTTTTGTGGGTTTCTAGACCTTTCGGTGTCTTTGGCATTTTTTCAAAATTCTTCCTGATACCGTTCTTTGAAACAAAGCACATCGAATACTGACTCTCAAGCAAGCTATCCACTCTCTGCTCCAGTCTCTCTTCTGGAGAACTGGAACGATTCCACCCAGGGCACAGTGGCCGCGGTAGGAGCTCCCGTGCGTGCCTAGCTTGGCACCCAGCACACAGTAGGTCACACTGCATGTTATGTTCGTGCCCGACCTTTCACATTTCGGGCTCTCCGGCTTTACAGCAGAATGGCCGCCGCGCTGACTTCGATGTTCCCTCCCTGCGCCCCGCTGCAACTGTCCCTGCTTCCTCTAGGCACCACCCACCCCCAAACAAATCACCTCTGCAAATGAAGCTATCCCGTCACTCCCTGGCTCCTGTCCTTCCAGTGGCCTCCTCCTGCACGTGGGGCCCGACAGAAGCTGGCCGATGGCCGTGCACTGACCAAACTCAGTGCGGATGGCCTCATCCCCTCCCTTGGACACAGGGACCCCTTCCCTGCCTGGATCCGATGTCCCCATCATTTGCCTACTGGACCATCAATCTGCACTTAGAGATCAAACCCTCGGGGAAACCCGTGCAAGCTCCGAGGCGGCGGGGAGCATGCTCCCTCTCTGCTGCGGCCTGGTGCAGCACCTGCCCGCGGAGGCCCCAGAGTATCTGTCACAGGACAGTTTACACGGGCTGGCGATAGGCAGCGGGATATGTCAGAACTGGGCTGAAATATCCCCTTACAAGAACGTTCTTCACAGCATTACTTAGAACAGTGAGAAATGAGAATCCCGTAAGTCTCACAACATGGCAACGTGTTTTATGAAGCAACCTATGACAGGTATTTCCATTAAAATTAGTATCTTAAGGGGTGCCTGGGTGGCTCAGTGAGGCGTCTACCTTCGGCTCAGGTCATGATCCTGGGGTCCTGGGATCGAGTCCTGCGTCAGGCTCCCTGCTCTGCGGGGAGCCTGCTTCTCCCTCTGCTCCCCTGCCCCCCGCTTGTACACACGCGTGCGCTCTCTTTTTCTCAGATAAAGAAAAAAAAAATCTTTAAAATTAATATTTTAAGAGTATATAAGGACATGAGATAATAATGAGATGAGTAAGAAATGGGTAGAACACCGTGTATAAAACCTCAATTTCTTCAATAAGAACAGCCATCTATATGCTTGTGGAGCTGGAGGAAAATATTCCAAGGTAATGTCACTGTCTTAAATAACATCACCAAAATCTCTCCTTTTTTAAAAAAGGTTTCCCGCGTTGTCCACATCTTTTATAAAAGACGTATCTTTATAATCAGAGAACCGTCCTCAATAACTGAGACATGTCACTCTACGTCAGACGGCTGTAAGCACAGAGCCCCGAGGAGGAGGCCTGTGGCCTCCATGGTCCCGGGGCCCCGGTTACCTGGTTGTTGACGACCACGTGGACGGTGCCATGAGTCGTGTAGGAGGGCAGGTCGCTCAGGTGGAAGGTCTCATACACGATGCCCTGGCCGGCAAAGGCGGCGTCTCCGTGCAGAAGGATGGACATGACCTGCAGACGTGCAAAGGAGACCCCAAATGCAAAACAGCCGCAGGCCACACCAGAAACTGAGTCACAATCTGCTTTTCCAAAAATAGTGCATTTTGAGATCACTTCAAACTTAGAAACAAAAACAAAGTGGCAGGAGGGGCGCCTGGTGGCTCAGATGGTTGAGCGTCTGCCTTAGGCTCAGGTCATGGTCCCGGGGTCCTGGGATTGAGCCCCACATCAGGCTTCCTGCTCCGTGGGAGGCCTGCTTCTCCCTCTCCCTCTGCCTGCCTCTCTGCCTACTTGTGCTCTCTCTCTGGCAAATAAATAAATAGAATCTTAACAAAACAAACACCAAAGTGGCAGGAGAACACATGACCCCCAGGCCCCGCCCGGGCCCTGCCTTGCGCCATTGGCACACCCGCCACTCAGCCACCGTCTGCTACAGAGCCCACGGACGCCATGCTGGGCACGGCCCGCGGGACCCTCCCGGCAGGAGGGCAACGCTGGCCGGGCTCTGCCCGGGGCGGGGGGCAGCCCAGTGCCTCTGCTGTCTCCACGGCCCAGACAGGCCTTCGTGACCACCCCATGAACGGCGCACTCCACACCGGGCGACGCCCCAGCTGGCCTGCCCCACGCCGGCGGGCGTCCCGGTGTTCCTGGACAGCGTCTCCCTCCCCCTCACTGTTCCCCCTCGGTCATGAGAACCTCGGGGTCCCGCTCCTCACCAGCCCCTGCCCGGCGGCAGCAGCAGCCTCTCCTGGGTGCTGCCAGGTGTCCCTCCTACAGGGATCTGCAAGAGCCTCCCCTTCTTGCCTTTTATTTGCATTCATGTGTGCTCACGGTTCCTATGCTATTCAGTCGGCCGTCACTGACTTCTATCACACTGGGCGGCTCCCATCGTCCCACAATCGGGGTGGGGGCCCCGTGTCGTCTGGACGGTGGCCCCCGCACAGCCTGGAAGGAGACACTTCTCCAGGAGCCTGCTTGCAGGGACGGCCGGGTAGACCAGCCTGTGCACAAAGGTGTTGCTCAGCATCTGCGTCCACAGGAGGACGCGATGCTGCCGCGTGCAACCCGACTCTGTTCAGTGCCGTCCTCCCTCCGCATCCACGGACACCTCCCGCACCACGAGACACTGCTCCCGGAAGCCCTCGTGTGCCCCCTGCCAGGAGGGGAGGGTTTACCGTGTCCTTTCCGGGGACAAAATGGAACCCTTGTGTCCTGCCTCTGGCCGCAGGGATGCTCACTGGGACAGGTTTATGCAGGGGCCTCCTCAGAAGGGCAGGTAGGAAGGCCACGGGGAGTCCTGCCAGAGCCTTCTCCGCACACGCTTGGCCTCCCACTGTTGGGCGCTTTGGGGAGCCTCCCATCTGGACCTCCTGGGGAAGCCACACTGGGGCCCTCGCCCAGCTGCACGGCCGTCCCTGAGACTCCCTCAGCGCGGTGCTCGGTGCTGACACCATGGGGCCCGCCGCTCCTTGCGTCTGATGGCACCCTAGTGAGCGGGCCGCCCTCCTGCACTGGGGGTTGCTTCCCCACAAACACCCCAGGGCCCTACTGGGTCAGGCCCTGTCTTCTCCCAGGTCACAGAACAACCCTGGTCCCGTGTACAGAGAGTAGATAAGTTTTCTGAAATGTGGAAGGTCACGTAACAGACGCTAGCTCTCTGAGTTCTCAGTTTAACAGAAATCAGCTAATTGCTGGGGGTTCTGGACAAGCAGCAAGGAGAACAGGTGTGAAGGACTGTGGGGTCTGGATCCATGGCTGGGGCAGGCGAGGGTCCGAGTGGCTCCTACACGGAGGTGGGTGCTCGAGGGGTGGGCTTTGCACACCAGGAAAGAACCCTCCCGAAAATGAGTGCCTGGTGAGCACGTGGGGCTAACCAGCCTGTCCTGGCCTCCTGTCTCATGGTGGGACTGACGGCTGCCACCACCTGGAGCATGCTCGACGTCCTTCGGCTTTCACCTAGTGACTCGTTGCTTTCCAGGACGTGTCCAGCACTCCGAGTGAGCACTGGTCAAGGGGCTTTTTGTCTCACTTACAAATGAGGACATCGCACAGACTTTACTGCAACCTCGTTCCCCAACCTGGCTCCACGGGCCGTGTCCTAGCCGAGGACGACGGGAGCGCTAGAGGCCCTGGTGACCACCGCCACCCCCTGCAGCCACCGTGTCGTTGCTGCTCCCAGGGCCATGACCTTCACATCCTGACAGGCTCCCCGCTCCCCGCGGGCCAGGCCCTTTCTCTGCGAGGGCGGGGGTACCTGTCAGTGCAGGAAACACGTCCGGCCCCGACGCCACGCCCAGACCCATCACTGCAGACCCACTGCCGCGAACGGCAGTTCCCTGGGTCGCTCTCTGAGCGCAGAACTAGCAGACCCACGGTACTTCGAATTACGGAACTTCAAGTAGGCTGACACTTGGCTCCACCTCTAGAGAGTCTGCCTCCTCTAAGGACACCCCCAGGCCAGCGCACCCCACTCTGCCCCCAGCACCCCAATCTACCTGCACCTCAGCCCCGTCTGTCACCTCCAGAGAAGGTTCTTATTTGCAAGCCTGGCTTCACCACAGGTGTGATGACGGGAGCAGCCCACCCCCTGCCCGGCTCTGGAACTCGCGACCTGGGAGGGAGCACCTCTGGAGGCGCGACTGGGTCACTATCTAGGATTCCGCCCCAGTCTGTTCAGAATACTTTGTTCAGTTCCACAACCCCGAGGTGGAAGACGTGACTGGGGCTCGGAGCCCGTCCCGGACACTGTGGCCTCAGGGCTGCCCTGGCCGGCCCCCGCGACCTTACCTTCTTCCCCTCCGTGTCCCCACAGTAGAACTGCTCCGCCTTTGTCTTGCCCATCACCACGGGGTCGGCAGCCTCAAGGTGGGAAGGGTTCGCCACCAGTGACAGGGTGATGTTCCTGTCGGTCACGCGGTTGATCCGCCGGTGGTACATCCCCAGGTGGTACTTCACGTCCCCAGAGCCCTGACACACAAACATGGGGCTGTATCCTCGGAGGGAGGGAGATGCTCAGGCTTCATGACCCCTCTGCTCTGTGCCATTTCTGCTCCCAGAACCCCCATTCCTGCAGGCATGGGAAGGTTTTCCCCCAGATGGCTCCCATCCATGGCCCCGGGAGAAGGGCCTTGCCCCCAGCGGGAGGACTGTGACCCGCTGGCCACCACCTGTGTGACAGTGTGGAGGCCCCCGGCCTGCTGAGGGCACGGCTGTCCTGAGCGGCAAGTGGAGCTGAGGGTCTCGGGTGGGTTTCTCGAGAAGAAACCAGGTGCCTCACCTCATCAGCGGCTTCCAGCTTGGAATCGAACTGACAGAAAATCTGTTCCAGCTCCTTCCTGATGACGTTGGCAAGCACGTTGAGCCGCCCCCTGGGACACAGAGGGGGGTGAGCCCGAGGCCAAGGCGGTGCGAGGAGGGCGGGTGGAAAACAGGCCCGTGGGGAGTGCTCTGCCCTCAGCCTCGGCTCCCCTAACCCCCTGGCTGGGGCCCCACAGGGTGGTGGTGGGGCCTGCGGGGACGGTCACCAGGGCGGTGGGCACGTACCTGTGGGGCATCCCCATGATCACGTAGTCCACCCCGTTCTCACTGGACTTGTCGATGATGGTCTTGAGCGCAGGGATCAGCACCTCGCACCCTTCCAGACCGAAGCGCTTCTCCGACGACCACTTTCGCTGCAGGAAATCCTCAAACCTGGCCAGGGACCACCAGGTCACACTCCTGCGGGGATGGCCCAGCACGGTGCCCAGCCCTGCCCCCATCCCCGCACAGCCCGCACCTGGTGGACCGCACGAGCCTGGCCAGCAGGGTCCGCTTCTCCTCGCTGGTGAACTGCATGACCCCGGGTGTCTCGAACTTCTGCCGGATCCACTGGCACTGCTCCAGGTCGTTGATGAACATGAACTCCACCCCGATGTGCCGGCAGTAGGCCATCTGTTCAGACACACACACCCCCATCAAGCGCTGCTCACCCCGGGGGATCGACCGCCTATCCAGCCAGAGAGCTGGCGGGAACAGGGGCCTCCCTTTCAAAGGCAGCGAAGCCAGCTGGGAGCCGGGGCAGAGATGGGGTTGGGGCCTGCAGCCTCCTCACTCCCAGCAGGCCCACAAGATGCTTCTGCAGGTCACACGGAGCCCGGCGAGCAGGGAGGGGACAGCAAGAACCGTGAGGCCAAGGCGCTTTCCTTTGTGGCAGGAAGATGGAGGCACCAGCCAGGGGATGGACGATTCTGGGAAGCCAGCTTCCCTGACCTCAAGGTTAGACCGTGGCCAGCGCCACAAGAAAGGGACTGTGCTGCCGGTGGGTGACAGAGCTCAGTGGCCACTTAAGATTCGCAGGTGTTCGGATTTTAAATTCTTTTAATAAGTGAGCCCTCTTGGGAAGGCTGGGTCCTACAGAAGTGTACTGCACACATTACAAAACAGGGGGCCCTGAACAGAGCAGGTGTGTCCCATCCACGACGCTCCCGTTACAGCTCGGAAAGAGGCCGTGCGTCCTGTGGGAAGCACAGGCTCAGTGGAAAGGAAGCTGGAGTGGGAGATGACAGGAAGGCCACAGGAGGGCCCGGCCTCAGGGTGGGGGCCTTTGCAGGGGCCCGTGCCTTCCTGAGGCAGGTGACCAGGGCCCCTCTTCTGCCTCCACCCACCAGCCGTCCAGGGTGACAGCAAACCCCAAATCAGCACCAGAGTTAAAGAAGGAAGCACCCTGGTGTGGCATAGGGAGGTTTTATAGACCCCAAAACCGTCTCCAGCAGCCACACCATCCAAGCACTCAGACCGCCAGGCTCTGCTCAGAGGGTCCGTCCATGCTCCGTTGGTTTTCACAACAGACATGGAGCCGGCTGGCAAGGTGCAGGGGGGGGAGTGTGCCCTTCAGAGCGGGGGTGGGCATCTCTGCATGTAGCTCCATGGTCATGAAACAGAGGAAGGTCTGCCTGAGCTCACACTAACCGCCAGGCACCACACGCGCCAGCCATCATCCCGGCCAGGAGAGGAGGATCTCACCAAAGGACCAAGAGGACGCGGAGCTGGGAAGGGCCTGGCTGCTTCTATGACAACATCTAAGGTGGCAAACCGGGAGCAAGAAGCCTGGGGGATGGGCCTGCTGGGCCATCCAGGCTGACTTCCTGGCTTCAGAGTCTGCAATAGCCCCTGCTTCTTCTGCCTGAGCCTCATGGTCCCAGATCCACTGAGCCACAGAACAAGTCACTCGGCCCAACCGGAGTGTCTTGTTAACAGGAACCCTCCTCCATCAGCTTAAAAAAGATTTTCCTGGGGCCTAAATCTGAGCTGCAAGGCCAGGTCAGAGGGGAGTGAGATGGAGGGGAGAGCAGAGGGAGGTGGAGGAAGGGAGGGGGGAGGAGAAGGGACCGAAGGAGAGGAGGAGAGGCAGGGGGAGAGAAGGGACAGGAATGGGGAGGGAGGGAGGGGAGAAGGAGGAGAGGAGGGGAGGGAAGGAGAGATGAAGGGGAGAGGGGGGATGGGAAGGGGAGGGGGAGGGGATGAGGGGAGAGGAGGGGCAGGGTGAAGGGGAGAGATGGAGGGGGAAGCAGAGGAAGGGAGGGGAAGAGGACAGAGGGGGGGTGGGCAGGGAGGGGAGAGGATGGGTGAGGGAGGAAGGGAAGGAAGAGGAGGGAGGGGAAGGGAGAGGACAGGGGAAGGGAGGGAGGGGAGGAGGGAAGAGGGGAGGGAGGGAGGGGAAGGGAGAGGACGGGGAAGGGAGGGAGAAGGAGGGAGGGAGGGGAGGTGAACAAGGCTCCTTGCACCCCAGGGGCACTACTTCCCTGACTTGAACAACTTAAAAGCTGGAAGGAAACGATGAGGTGGAAAGTCCAGAAACTAGGGTGTCTCCATCACCATGGGCATGAGTCTAGCTATTAACTTGGACTCGTGGTTACCGGGCCCTGGATCACGTGTTGTTTTTACTGGTCTTGGCTCAATCCCCAGGAGAAAAGGCCGTGCCTTTCCAGGGGCTGGTTCTTCGCTTCTCCGTCCAGCGAGAGCCAGTGTGAGGGCGCTCTGAAGCCCCACCTACTCTAGCTTCTCAGAGGCCACCGGTGTCCCGGGCCGGCCTGTGGTCCCAGCGGCTCACGCCAGCAACCTGGTGCGCACACACGTGTGAATGTACACACCACGGTCAGCAACTTTGCCCAAAGACCTGGAAGCCGTGCACACGGCACACAGGCTGGGATGTGGGCGCCCTGGGGTCAGGGGGAGCTACGGCCAAGGTCCCACAACCAGAGCCCGACTCCTGGGCTGAAAGTGAGAGCCGCTGGGCTCTGGCCCTCCAGACGCCGGGCTCAGGGCCATGGGGGACTCAAGGCTGAGGAGGCCAAGCACGGGACTCTGCACACCCCCACTCTGCTCTGCAGGAGGAAAGGTGCTGAAGGTGCCCCCAGAGGAGGGGCCGGCATGCCCGCAAGGTTTCTGGCTTGGGAGGAGGGCTGAGCTCCCCACTGGAGACCGTGCAGGGGAAGGGAAGGAGGGGCGGGTGCACTGCGCCAGCTCTCATGCAGACTGCTCCAACCTCTGCTTTCCAGACAAACAGACCAGCCCCAGATGCCCGGGACACCCACGGGCGGGACAGAGGTTCAGACAGGCTCATCTGGAGGAGGACTGGTCTACAAAGGGTGCCATTTCTGGGGTCCAGGCCAGGGGAGCCCCTAGGTCAGAAATGTCCCAGAGAAACAGAACATGACCACGGGGGAAATTTAAATTTTTCCAACAGAGATGAATCAACTCTCAGACTCTGTTTGGTCAATGCATCAACACATTCTCTCTTCAATGCTTAAGTCACTCATATTCTGCACGCTTCCAGAACTCAACTGCCGGCCACGTCGGGACAGGGCGGGTCTAGACACTGCAGTCAGTGGTGAGGCCAGTGCAAACGGAGGAAAAGGACGACCCAGGTCCTGGGTCGGTCCACTGGCTAATCCCGCCCCCTCCCCACCCCTCCCCACCCCTCCCAGTGTCCACACCCTCATGTTGGCACCAAGGCACCGAGTGTCCACATCTTCCCAGTAGCCTGTGGGGAGGTGATGAAGGCCGAGCTGAGATGCTGACAGCACAGGACGCCTGTCGCACGTTAGAGACCACGTCACCAGCAGACACTCGGACCTTCCTAGGCCGCACAGCCACATGCGGCACCAGCAGTGGGAGCATTCTGATCAGACCCCACCGGCTAGAGCGGGTCCCCTTCACCACGCCCGAGTCACGGATGGGGGTGTGAGCGGCAGTGCCGGTGGCCGGCATGGAGAGCCCCACTACTGGGCGTCGTGCAGCCAGGGCGTGCCAAGACGCCAGGTACCCCCACGAGCGAGCACCAGGTGACGGCACGATGCCTTCTGGGGAGCCCCGTCCAGAGTACTTGTTTCCTCCGTCTGTCCTACTGGGCAGCGTCGGCACGGACCCCCACCCCGTACGGACGAGGCCTGGACCCAGGGAGGTGGCAGCGGAGCCCCCCACGTAGCTGCTGGGAGTGTGCGCGGCAGGCCCAGCAGGCTCCGCGCGAACCAGGTCCAGAAAGGAGAAGGGAAAGAGGAAAACAGCAGAAGAGTGGGCGAGCAGCAGACTTCTGTCTGGGCGGGGGAGCCCTGCTCTAGCCGCGGCCCAAGGACCCTCGTCCCCGGCGGCTGGAGCGGGTTCCGGGGAACCCCCACACCTGAAATAAGCTCCCACAGAGACCAAAACGCACAGAGACGCTTGTTCTCCTCTATGGTTGATGGTAAAAATGAAAAGCATGAATTTTTATCTATAAAAGAGCAAAAAAGCTCCCCTCTTTCTTCCACTTTAAAATGACAGAGGACCAAGAGAAATAACCAGCCCGTCGGGAGGCCTCCAGCCAACACAGGTCTCGGGCAAGCGCACGAGATTTCCGCGGACGCCACCATGTGCCCTTACCTCCAGCCGCCGGATGATCTCCCGCAGAGGAAGAGCCGACTCCTGCCCCCCGATGAACGTCGTGGTGGGCAGGTGAAAGACCTTGTCCAGGTCGGACTCGTCCAGGCCGTAGAACCCTGCAGGGGTGAGGAGAGACGGGCACAGCCACACGGAGGCCACAGTTTATGGAAAGGGGAAGGGACTCCCCGGAGGAGAGAAGAGAGAAGAGGAAAAATCATAAAAATCTCTGATATACGTAAAAATAAGTAATATTTTACAGCCAGAAACACACACTGTAGCAACAAACAGAAGCTGAGAATATTACTAGCATCACAGCTAAACAAGAGTAAAATTCATATTATGCGTGTATTAGTCCAGTGCACCAATTTTTCATAATCTAGAGATAAAGGTCTTTCAAGGTCCCAGCGACACAAATTTTGACTTGAAAAGGCACTGGGTAAGTTAATCGGAAAGCAAATGAGAAGTAGTTAAGGAGGGGATTCAAGCAGCGACTGAGGAACTGGTGTGGAAGGGCCCCGTGTCCCGTGTGAGGAGGGGACAGGAGCTGGGGGCGCTGAGGCAGGGGTGACGGCTGCCCCCTGCTCCGAACTGCCTGTCTGCACCCGTCCTGTACGGGGTACTCGCAGGCCCCCCGACCCCCGCTAACACAGATCTACTGACTCGTCACCAGCATTTCCCGCAGCGCCCGCTACGCAAGGCGCTTCTAACAGCATATTTCCAACTGACACACACGCGAAGGAAGGGCTCTCTGTCGGGCACGACGGGCTTGTTTCCCGTCACGGTGACCGTCGTGGGGAAGAGGCTGGAGGACTGTCGGGTAACACAGCAGACTGGGCTCCCGCCGACCCTGGCCCTGAGAGCTCATGCTGGCTGGGCGAGGCGGATGCACCACGGCACACCAACGTCCGGGACGCCAGTGCACCGCGGCCCGGGACCCCCGGCTGCGCGAGGTCACACTTTGACCTCGTGTCGGCCTAACTGAGCGCGACAGCGCAGGATGGCCGAGAGGGGGCCTCCGGCCGTCACAGGCAGAACCGCTGCGAGGGCTGAAGAAGCGCCCACGTGCAGGCCCCAGCCCAGCACTGACTCCCACGGCGCGTGGGGGCCAGGAACGCCCGGCTGTGCCCATCCAAGCTGCCGTGGGGACCACAGCCTGCATGCATTTAACACCTCAGCACACACTGTTTAAGTCTTAAAAGGAAATTCTACGTTTTCCAAACCCTTCTTGCTTTCTTGAAACAAAAGCTTTTTCACATGGGGGCAGTGACGGCCGCAGTGGCTTGGGGAAACACACGTGCCCCTTTCCTGCTGCTATTCTACCCAGAATGGGGACAGGCCACCGCAGAGGTCTGCTGAGGCTTGGGCCGATCACCGCCTGGCTCGTGGTATTTACGGAGGACAGCCAGAATCATGTGGGGGCCATTCTTCCTAGATGCTGAGAACAGGTGTATACACCCTGTCGGGAACACTCTGATCCAGAGAACCTCAGCTTGGCAGGACCCTGCCTTGGTGCAAGGGCGGCTCCTCGGCTCCATCACCCTGTGCTGACCACTCCCGGGCTGTCCTGCTGAGCCTCCAAACGGCCAGCCTGCGGCTATGTTCTTCAGTCACACAAGAAATTGACTCTCGGACACCTGCTTCCAGGAAGGTGGAGCAGACGTACTCCTATCTATTCCCCACTAACTGCAACTACAGAGCCCAGACATCATAGGTAAAACAAACATAAGACAAAGCCAGAAGGTGGAGAAGGCGGCTGACCAGCCAGTGAGGACCCCAGATTTCCTTCTGGGCTCCCACATCCCAAACTTGGGGCAAAGAACAAACAACCTGAGAACTCCTCCACATGCAGACCAAAAAAGCCCCAATGAAAGCTACTCTCTCTAAAGGGTCAGGAGAGGGGCAGCTGAGCAGGGCTGAGAACTCAATGACTGCTCTATTCTACCCAAACATGCAGCACACACTGCAGCCCAGCCACACCCCTGCAGGCTGTGAGGCATGTCAACGTCCAGCTCCATCCCAGGGTTTCACAGAAGGCCCACCAGGGAGCCCAGACTTTGCTCCCTCCAAGAGAGGATGCACCAGCCCACTTCCCCATCCTGGCGTCAGCAGGGTCCATGGGGACCGGGGCCCCTCCCTGCCACAGCAGTGTTCAGACGGGCCCTGCTGTAACAGAGATCAGAGTACAATTCCAAGTCTGATAATACCCAAACATCCTGGTTTCAAGAAAAGAATCCCTCACAACAAGAACCCGGAATCCCTTAGACTGAATGGGGAAAGATAACCAACAGACACTAGCTCCTAGATGGACAATGGAACTACCCGCTTGGGGCTCTCCAGGAGCCATCCTCAGACGACTTTAGTGAGCACTCAGAACGTGACAGGGACGGTGGGAAGCCAAGTATCTACAAAAACTGAAGATGCAGAAAAGGACCAAACGGGAAAGTCTGAAACTGCAAAATGCAATCACCTGAATTAAAGTTGGGCAGGTGGGCTGGAGGGCAGAGGACCAGGGACCGTGAAGATAGAACAAAAGAGATGAACCAATCTGAACAATGGAGAGAAATGAAGAAAGCCTCGGGGACAGGTAACATAAAATAGAAGACTTCTTGTTTGTGCCCACAAATCCCAGAAGGGGAGGAGGGAAGGGAAGATGAAAAAAGGGACCTGGAAAATAATGGCTGAAATGCCCCAAATATGGCCAGAGACTTCAACCCACAGATCTAAGAAGCAGCGTGAGCCCACAGGAGAAACCCAAATACAACCACGCCAAAACAGCATAATTACACTTCTCAAAATTAAAGACAAAGAAAAAATCCTGAAAGCAGCCAGAGTAAAAGGAGGGAAAAAAACCACTTGAAGGCAGAGTTTCTCATCAGGAGTGGGGGTGGGAGGGCAGAACAGGGGCACACACTTTTCAGAGCCCCGTGTCCGGGGACGGCACGCTTTAGGAACGAAGGGGAAATGGAGCATTCTTAGTTGCAGGGAATGAAGACAGTCTATCTCCTACAGGAATGGCTAGAGAAAATTCTCTACAGAGAAAGGAAGTGACATCAGAAGGGATCTTAGACATTAGGAAGGAAGACAGAACATGGAATAAAAAGTACAGGTTAGGGGCGCCTGGGTGGCTCAGTCGTTAAGTGTCTGCCTTCGGCTCAGGTCATGATCAGGGTCCTGGGATCGAGCTCCGCATCGGGCTCCCTGCTCGGCGGGAAGCCTGCTTCTCCCTCTCCCGCTCCCCCTGCCCGTGTTCCCTCTCTCGCTGTGTCTCTCTGTCAAATAAATAAAATCTTTAAAAAAAAAAGTACGGGTTAATAAAGCAGACTTCCCTTCTCCTCCTGGGTCTTCTAACTTAGGGTTGATGGTCAAGGCCAAACTTATGACACTGTCTGATGTGGTTCTAAACATGTAGAGAAAATATTTAAAACAATTTGATTTTAAATGAAGAAGATAAAGGGATATAGAGGGAGGTACACTTTCTACACTTCATTTGAACTCATAAAACAATGACACCACTAGATTGTGATAAGCCGTGTATATATAATATCATACCCAGATGGCCACAAAAAATCCTGAAAACAACTACTAAAAACACAAAGATATGACTAAAAATATTATACACAAATAAAACTGGAATTCTAAAATACAGGCTTAAAAACCCATCTGAAGTCAGGAAAAAGAGGGAAGAGAAATGAAAAAGAAAACAAACAAAATAAAGAACAAGATGTTAGACTTAAGCCCCAGCATATTAATAATTACATTAAATATAAATGATCTAAATATGCCAACTAGAAGACAGAGGTTGGCAAAGTGGATTAAAAAATAAAAAAAGACCTGACGATATGCCTGTCTACAAGAAACCCACTTCAAATATAATGATATAGACAGATTAGAAGTAAAAGGATAGAAAAAGATATAACTTGTAAACACAATCAAAAGCAGAGGTGGCTCCATTATTATCAGATAAAGTAGACATCAGAACAAAGAAAATTACTAGACACAGAGAGGGACATTACATGATGATAGGTCAATCCATCTAGAAGACAGAGGAATCTCAACTGTGCATGAACCCAATGATGGACCTACAAATAATGTGAACCAAAAACTGAGGACAGAAAGGAGAAAAAGAGGTGGCTGGGTGGCTCAGATGGTTAAGTGTCTGCCTTTGGCTCAGGTCATGATCCTAGGGGCCTGGGATCGGGCCCTGCATCAGGCTTCCTGCTCAGTGGGGAGCCTGCTTCTCCTTTCCTTCTGCTATTCCCTCTGCTTGTGCTCTCTGGCTCTCTCTCTGTCAAATAAATAAATAAAACCTTAAGAAAAAAAAAAAAGAAAGAAGAAACAGAGAAACCCACAGGTATAGTTGGAGACTTCAACTCTTCTCTCTCAATAATTCATTTAAAAGGAAAACAGGAAATTGCCAAGGATATAGGACTCAACAACCACCAACCAACAGGATCTGTAAATGGGCATTTACAGAACACTTCGCCCGACAACAGCAGAATACACGTACTTCCCAAGTGCCCATGGAACATATGCCAAGACAGACAGTTCACTGGGCCATAAAAAATCCTCAACAAATTTAGCAGAACTGAAATCATACAGAATGCATTCTCTAACCACAATGGAATGAGACTAGAAATCAATAACAGATAAAAGGAAACTCTCCAAATTATTAGAAATGAAACAACACACTCCTAAATAATCCATGGATGACAGAGGAAGTATTAAAGGGTATCAATACACGGAACTGAATGAAAATGAAAATACGAAATACCAAATTTTGTGGGACAGCTAAAGCAGTTTCCCAGAGGGAAATTTACAGCAATAAGCACACACATTACAAAAGAGGAAGTCTCAGGGTGTCTGAGTGGCTCTGTCAGTTAAGTGTCTGACTCTTGGTTTTAGTTCAGGTCTTGCTCTCAGGGTCGTGAGATCGGCTCTGCATTAGGGTCCGTGCTCAGCGTGGAGTCTGCTTGGAATTCTCCCTCTCCCTCTGCCCCTCCTCCTGTGCACTCTCTCTCTCCCTCTCTCTCTCTCTCTTTCTAAATAAATAAAATCTTAAAAAAAAAAAAGAGGAAAAATCTCAAATCAGTAATCTAAACTCCCACCACAAGAACCTAGAAAAGGAGGGGGAAAAACCCACACAGAAAGTAGAAATAAGGAAATAATAAAGATAAGAGCAGAAATCTATTTAAATCAATTGTACTGAAAACAGCAAAACAACAGAGAAAAGTCAACGAAACAAGGAGCTGGTTCTCTGAAAAGATCAGTAACACTGACAAACCTCTAACAAGACTAACAAAGGAAAAGGGGCACCAGGGTGGCTCAATCAGTTAAGCATCTGCCTTTGGCTCAGGTCATGATCCTGGGATCCTGGGTTTGAGCCCTACATCGGGCTCTCCACTCAGCAGAGTCTTCTTCTCCCTCTCACTCTCCCTCTGTGCACATACGCTCTCTCTCTCTCAAATAAGTAAAATCTTAAAAAACAGAACAAAACACTAACAAAAACACAAATTACCAATATCAGGAACAAAACAGGATAGCAATACAGACCCCATGGATATCAACAAGACTAAGAGAACACTATGAACAACTCTATATATGTACACTTGACAACTCAGATGAAACATACCATTCCTAGAACAATATGAACTGCCACTACTCACCCAGTATGAAACAGATAATTTGCAATAGTTCTGCAACTATTTTTTTTTAAAGATTTATTTTATTTTATTTATTCGAGAGAAAGACATACAGACAGAGAGAACATGAGCAGGGCTAGAGGGAGAAGGAAAGGGAGAAGCAGGCTCCCCGCTGAGCCAAGAGCCCAATGTGGGGCTTGATCCCAGGACTCTGGGATCATGACCTGAGCTGAAAGCAGATGCTTAACCATCTGAGTCACCCAGGCGCCCCAATAGCTCTACAACTATTAAGGACATTGAATTCCTAAATAAAAAGCTTCTGAAAAAGAAATCTCCAAACCCACATGGTTTTGTTGCAGAATTCTACCAAATACTTAAAGAAGAATTAACACCAGCTCTAAAATCTCTTTCAAAATATTAAGCAGAAAAGGAAAAACAACAACAACAGCTCATTTTATGAGGCTAGGACAACCTTGATACAAATGGCAAAGACAAATGAAAAAAGAAAATTACAAACCAATATCCCTCATTAATACAGATGCAAGAAATACATAGGTGCAGCAATATTTAAAAAGAATTTGGTGGGCGCCTGGGTGGCTCAGATGGTTAAGCATCTGCCTTCGGCTCAGGTCATGATCCCAGGGTCCTGGGATCGAGTCCCGCATCGGGCTCCCTGCTCCTTGGGAGCCTGCTTCTCCCTCTGCTTCTCTTTCTCTCTCTCTCTCTCTGTCTCTGAAGACTGAATAAATAAAATCTTAAAAAAAAAAAAAAAGAATTTGGCACCATGACCAAGTGAAGTTTATTCCAGTGATACAATATTGGTTCAACATCTGAAAATCAGTGTAATCTGCTATACTATCAAGTTAAAGAAGAAAAATCACCTGGCTGTATCAGTAGATGCAGAAAATTTTCACACTTCTTCAAAATAAAAACTAGCAAAAAAATAGGAATAGAAGGGAACTTCTTCAACTTGATAACATCTACAAAAAGTCTATAGCTAATATTATACTTGGTGATGAAAGACAGAACTTTCCCCCTAAGATCAAAAACAAGGTAAAGATGTACATTCTCAGGACTCTTACTTAACATGGTGCTAAAAGTTCCAGCCAACGCAATTAGGCATGAAAAGGAAATAAAAGGCACACAGGTTAAAAAGAAAGAAAGAATTGTTCCTCTTGTCAGATGATATGATTATCTACACAGACAATCCTAAGGAATCTACCAAAAAAAAAAAAAAAAGAGTCCTAGAATAAGTGAGCTCAGCAAGACCACAGGATATAATATAAACACAAAAATCAACTGTATTTCTAGATACTAGTAATGATATGTAGACACTAAAATTAAAAAGAAAAAGAATCTTGGGCATAAATCTAACAAAACACACACATGACTTGTACATTGAAAACTACGAAAAGCTGATAAAATAGATCAAAAAAAGATCTAAATAAATGGAGAGGCATACTATGTTCATGGATTGGGAGGCAATGGAGTAAACACGCCAATTCTCTTAAACAGATCTGTAGGTTTAGCACCATTGTTACCAAAATGTCAGCAAGTTGTTTTGTAAACACAGACAAGCCTTCTCTCAAATTCATCTGGAAAGAGAAAGGCCAAAACAGTTCTGAAGCAGGAAAATAAAGCTCAGTAGCTACGGTAACCCAGAGAGTGACAGTGGTTGGGGAACAGACACACAGGCTAGGAAAGGATCGAGAATCCAGGAACAGATTGGCGCAAGTCAATCCAACTGATTTTTGACAAAAATGCAAAAGCAATTAAAGAGAGGGAAGACAAAGTTTCCAGGTGTCGGGGAAACCGGACATCCATAGGCAAAAAACAAAAAAAAACCCCTTGACCTAAACTTCAGGTTTTATACAGAAATTAACTCAAAATGGATCGTAGATTTAAATGTAAAATGCAAAACTAGAGAACCATTAGAAAAATAGATAGAAGGGGTGCCTGGGTGGCTCAGAAGGTTAAGAGGCCAACTCTTGATTTCAGTTCAGGTCATGATCTCCGGGTTAGGAGATCAAGCCCAGCGTCTGGCTACTCGCTTGGTGTGGAGCCTACTTAAGATTCTCTCTCGGGGCGCCTGGGTGGCTCAGATGGTTAAGCATCTGCCTTCGGCTCGGGTCATGATCCCAGGGTCCTGGGATCGAGCCCCATGTCCAGCTCTGGCTCAGCGGGGAGCCTGCTTCTCCCTCTGCCTCTCCCCCTGCTCGTGCTCTCTCTCTCTGTGTCTTGAATGAATAAATAAAATCTTTAAAAATTAAAAAAAAAAAAAGATTCTCTCTCTCCCTCTGCCTCTGCCCATCTCCCCACTCACCCTCTCTCTCTAAAATAAATAAATACATCCTAAAGAAAAAAAAGAAAAATATGTAGAAGAAAATCTGGGTTCTGAGGTTTGGCAACAAAAGCACAATTCATAAAAAGGAATGCTGGCAAACTAGACTTTATCAGAATTCAAGATTTTGCCCGGCAAAAGACCCGATTGGCCAAAGAATGGGAATGATGCAAAGGTCCTCCGAGTGAATGAATAGTGGAAGCAAGTGTGGGACACCCACGGCAAGGAGTTCTGCTCAGCAAGAAGGGACAAGCCAGTATTACAAAGCCACCTGGCTCGAACCCCAGAAAAATCAGGTTGACTGAAAACTGGCAATTCCAAAATATTACACACTATGATTGCATTTGCATAACATTCTTGCACTGACGAATTACAGAAATGGAGCCCAGGATAGTGGCTCCTGGGGGTTAAATGGGAGTAGGATGGAGGGGAAGCGGGTGTGGCTAAGGAAGGCTGCAGGGAGGCACCCCCGAGGTGACGAGGTGACGTGTGGCCTAGCCAGCACCCTGGTGGGATGTGCTATGGTGTACAAGACGTTACCACCGTGGGACTGGCTGTGAGGCACGAGGCTCCCTGTGAATTCTTACAACTGCATATTAATCTATGATGATCGCAAAAACAAAAGGTGTAATCAAAACTGGGGTCTCACGGCTACGATCAGATGGAGAAAAACGAGAACTTCTCAGGGCCACCTGGCATGGAGGGAAGCCTGGCCACCGGGGAAGTGACAACAGGCAGACGGCCCCCAGCACCTCACTCTGGATTCTTCAAAGGTGCTTTGCCCAGAACCATGGGTCACTGAGGATTCCTTACTTCATGGAGTAAGTTTTTATCAATACTTCAATTGTCCTTCAAACATGGGAAGATCAACAGAGAAATCTCGTCCCAAATGCCCAGGAAGCAGAATCTCAAAGAATCCAGAGCCCAGTCGAAGACACAGTGCAGAGGTGGAGGAAAGGGTGTGCCGACATGCAGAATGCCGTGTGGCCTCCGCCCCCCGCCGGCTCGGCAGGAGCTCCAGGCAGCCTGCACTAGAAGACAAGCTCAGCGAAGCGGAGGCAAGACACACGGGAGGTGAGAATGGACAGAAACAGATATGACACAGAAGTGGCGATCCCTGCTGGGTGACAGCTGAATGACGGGACAACGCACTTCAGTACAATTAACAGTCAACTTTCCCCAAATCGCATGCTGGGAAAAGTTGCACATCCTGTTCAAATGAGGTCCTCAGCTCCAGAAAGGTGAAAGGCGCGTTATTTTCCTACCTCCTACTGTTAGCATTCGGAGTCGTTCCTTGAACACTGCAAGGTCTGAGAGGCAGAGTGAGGTGGCGTGGGTGAGAGCAGAAGGAAAAAGACAGTGAGAGTTAGTTCAAGACCCAGACATCCCAACCCTGCACTGTCACCGCGGTCACGGGGGGCACAGACACCGCCACACAGACAGACACCGAAGGGGGACAGGGTGGGGCTCAGGGGGCCGACAGCTACTGGGATACCTGTGGGAACTGCTCAGAAACAGCTGGAATGAGGTGAGCCCAAAGGAGGGAAAGGCTGCTTCCTGATGCAGGGAAGAACTCCTCGCTTCCCTGTCCTGAAGAAGAGGCTGACACAGCACTCTCCTGGGAAATCGAACCCACCCAACCCAGCTTCGGGGTGACAAAACCAGGGAACAGAAAATGAAAAGGCCTAATTTCTAGCAGACGGTCCTCACAAGTGGGGCAGCAGGTAATGGGCTAGACCCTAACCCTCCAGATTCTGATGGGTCCTAAGGACAGAGGTGGGTCCTTGGTCCCCGCTCGGCAACAAGGCAGAACCGGGAGGGAGCTCAGCTGCACAGAACCGCCCCAGGCCTGCCCACGGTCCTCCTGCAGCAAGCTTTCCCGGCCGCTGGTGAAAGCCAAGGTGTTCGTCTGGATACACAAAGCACCTTCCTTCTCCTGACCCTGGTCCCCTGGGGTCCGGGGGCCGGGAGGGTCGTGGCGGCAGGGCATGCAAGGGCAGGCAGCTGAGTGGTGGGAGCGTGCTCACGGTCACCGCAGCTGCTCCCTGCCCTGGCAGTGCAGAGGAAGGCCAGCGGACGCTGCCTTGGAGGTGGAGAGCAAAAACTCTGAGTCAGGGCAGGGCCCCCTGCTCGGGGTGGGCAAGCCCTCCTCCTCGCCTGCGGGGACAGCAGCACCCAGCAAAGACCGCAGAGCCGGTGGCTCTTAAGACAACAGATCATCCAAGTTCCTCACAGAAGTGTGGATGCCTTGCTTACGGGCAAGAAAAAAGAATCTTCCTTTTTCCCCTGCAATCCTCAGAATCGAGACAGAGGACCGCGCCCCGCCGCAACAGTGAACTGCAAGCGTGCCCTATTTTCAGAAACTCTATAGGTGACACACGGAATGTCTTGAAAGGCTGACATCTGTTCACTCCGGGTACTGGTTCTGTGGATTCTTATGTGTACTTCCTGGCAGATTCAAGAGAAGACACGAACAGCTGGTGTTGTGTCATCTGCAGAGAGCACATGGGGGTCCCTGCAAGCCACACGTTACTCCCTGATGTGCACATGACCCTGCCGGAGACACGGAGCGGCTGGGATTCAGCCACGGTGCCCCCCGGCCTGCCTGGGCATCTGGGAGGACACCTCTGCAAGGCATGACCCCTGCGACCTTGGCTCGGCGTGAGCCCGACCCCCAGCTCTTCACTCGTGGCCGCACACGGCAGCCTACAGATGTCAAGTGAACTGCTCTGTGTTGCTCCGAAATTAGGAAAGCTAACTAAAGATCAACTCTATTTTTAGTTATTCTCCCCAGATGTCAAGGGAGCAAAAGTGGCCATGGTGGACATGGAGTGCTCTAGAAGGTCAGCAGGCCGGCAGCGAGACTCCGGCCCAGGCCAGGCCGGAACGAGCTAGCCCACTGACGTGGTCAAAGTGTTGCCATTTTGGACTTCTGATTTGGCTTTTTAACCACAGGCACACCTTGTCTTATCGCACTTCACAGATACTGAGTTTTTTGTGTTTTTCTTTCTTTTACAAATTTTAGGAATTTACAACTTTGCGGCAGCCCTGTACCCAGTACGCCCATGGGCCCCATTTCCCCAACAGTATGTGCTCACTTCCTGTCTGCGTCACATTTTGGTCATTCTCGCCACATTCCGAACCTCTCTTATCCCACCTGCACAGTGCTGTGCTGTGCGGAGCCCGACAGCTCGGAGGACAGTTGGCGGGACGGCGTGCACGCTGCCTTTGCTCCAACACGGTGTGGCTACTGCACACTTGCCCGGCCACGGGGCAGACCGCGCTCTCGGGCGCACGGGGCACCAGAGAGCTCCCGGGGCTCGCTCTGTGGCCGCGCTGGCTCTCCTGCGCTGGTCTGGAGCCGAGCCCGCAGGACCTCAGCTCAAGCTCATTTCCCGAGACGGGCGGTGTGCAAACACCGACAGCAAACAAGAGAGGCATCACGGTTTCCTCCCTGTGATCTACAGAATGGGTTTCAAGTTCCCCTGTAATTATGTTGCAACCTCACATCACAGTAAATGTCCGTCACCTCTGTCCCCGTGAGCAATCACGGTACACATCTACACAGACCCAGAGGCGCCAGCACATCACGCGCCGCATGTGAAAGCAAGACACGGAAGGCAGGTCAGTGGGACGTTTCTGCACGTCCCAGACCAGCCGAGGGTGGCTCAGCTCCCTCCCCATCCAAACAAAGCCAGCGCTGCATGCCCACAGAGGACACAGGTGTGGTTACGTCCAGTTTGTCTGTAGTGAAGACAGCAATGACCCTGACCCCGCGAGACTCCCCGTCTGGACCTTTCCGTCGATAGCCACACGCCGACCCTAATCTAGGGCCAACCAGAAAGGCCTCGCTAGGAAACCCGATCCTGTCCGGACCTCCTGAGGGATTCAAGGTGGAACATGCCCCCGGGCGTCTCGTGTCAGTGCTCCCGACCCTCGTCCACGGGCGTGGGTTTGACGGGACGACCGGGTACAGATGAGGATGTGTTCCTGGGGCCCACCTGGAACCCGGCTCCTGACAAAACACATCCTGGGGAAAGGTACCCTGTTGCTAATAATCATCCACCCAATTATGGGCCAGCTGAGAAACTGTACTGACGTTAGTTTGCATTTAAAATCTTAATTACCGCCACCACTCAACAACGCTTCTGCCGCGCTGGCGGAAGGCAGTACGCTGTGTGGGCGCCCATCTGCTGGCAAGCCCAGCATCCCGCCACCCAGGGGCCCTGCACGCCCGCCGAGTCTCCCGTGACTAGTAAGAGCCTGCCCATGAATTCTCTCCACCCGTCACTTCGGGAGCCAGGAGAATGTGTGTGATGTCAGGGTAGGGACCCTAGGCCTCAATTCCCAACCTTCTCCAAACCAGTCAAAGGTCAAGAGCTTAATGGAAATTATTTCACACAATCTACTTTATTTAAAAAACTGGGAGTGGACATAGCCCTGCTCGCGCTGCACGCCAGCATCCGCTGCCCCCTGGGCTCACGCCTGCCCACCGCTGCCCCTCCACCCACCTGCTTCCCCAGCAGTACAACGTGCTCTCAGACATGTGGGGAGCGAGCATCTCCCGAGCCTGGGTTCCCCACAAGGGGATGGAGAAACTGCCTGCATCCACAGGGAGAAGGGGAGGTCAGGCCAGAGGAGACACAAGAGGCACCCAGGCTCCACACGGAACACGTAGGCCACCCTGCTCCAGCCCCAGCTCCGGGGCTCCCTCACCACGATCAGCTCTGGTGTGACCCCAGGCTGCGTGCTCCGTCCCTCCGTTTCTGAATTTACCTCATTACCAGAGGGCCTGGCAGCGACCTAGCTCGAAAGATCGTTAACAATCGCACTAGCTCACAACTTCATGGAGCTTAGGAAGCTCCAGGCACTGTTCTAAGGATTTTATTTAATTCTGAAGCCGCCTTACAGATGAGGAGGTGCAGGCTGGTCCTGGCTGAGATGGGGCTCCCGCCCGGGGAGCTAGCTCTGAGGCCAGGCCCGTGGCCCAGAGGAGGCGAGGGGCATGGAAGCACCCAGAAGTGTCCAGGTCCACGAGCAGCGGTCGGGCTGGACCGGCTGTTTTCCCGAAGACCTACATGCACCAAAGGTGACACAATTCAAACTAACTTTCTTGCAGATTCACTATTTCTGCTTTTTGCACCCAAAGAAAGAATTCATCACAACTATTTCAAATTCTCAGGATGAAAATGCTCTTTCCTCTACAAAGCAGGGGACTGCTCCCTGACTTGGTCCTGGTGGTTCTGAAGGGCTCCTGGCCAGGGGAGGCAGCATCTCCTTCCTCAGAAGAGCCCGGGGGGCTCTGGGGCCACGTCTATGTGGCCCTCCTGGTGCCTCACGAACTTTCGGGGCACCACTCCAGGAGGGAATGTAGGGTGAGGCCACGGTGGCCGGGAACAAACTGGGAAGAATGACGGAGGCCCTGCCCCCACCCCTGCGTCTGCCCTCGACCAGCGCTGGGACAGGACACTGGAGCGTCGCCAGGCGTCCCAGCCTGCACGGACCAGCCGGGCTGGGAGTGTCGGGGGATCTCTAAGCAACCTCTGCCGGTGCCTGCAGGCTGCGGCTCTGTCCTGCCCTGACCAGTCTCACGTAAGACCGAGCACAGCTTCACATCTCCCCCCTCCCCGCCCTGAAGTTTGAAGGAGAGTGGAGAACCACCAAAAAACACCCATTTTAATACCAAGAAACTGACAACCATGAATTGGTGATGCAGTTTGGGGCAGGAGAGGGTGCCCCCTACCTCCTGTGCCCCCTCCTGCTGGAATGCCTCACGGTGTCAGAGGCCCTCACCCCTCTCTGGAGAGGCCCCAGGCCTTCAACACCTGTGGGGGCCCCACGGTGCTTCAGGCCAGGCGAGCACAGGCCGTGTGGGGCAGGGTGCGGCTGGGGATGTGTGGGGAGGAGGAAGAGAGGGGAAGCAGCCTCGGACCCCCCAGCAGTGGGGGGCCTTTCTCCAGTGAAGACGGCGGTGACGGACCGCCAGCTAACACGGACCCTGAAGCCGACGCTGTCGGAAACCTTGCCTTACCTGGCTCGAGCCTGACCACCCACGCCACAGCCCAGGGGTGCTACAGAGTGCTGGGGCGTCACAGAGGGTTAGAGACCACTGCTCGAGGAGGCGAGTTCCGTCCCCTCCCGGGGAGCAGCATAGGGCAGGGAGGCAATCGTAAGTTTTATTAGCATGCACGGTGCGTCCGGTGGGCACCTGGCCATCTCCGGATCAGTCATCTCAGCACAGGTTAGCAGCACGGTGACCGAGAGCAGATTAACTTGAGAAAGCAACTGCAGGGGGAGCCCAGCCGCGCCCTGTGTGTGCTTCCTGGTGGCAGAGGAAGGAGCGGGGACGTGTGACAGCAGCTGCCTGAGCTCCACACACCTCCCCGCGCGCCGGGATGCCTTCCAAAGTTTCCTTCCTCAGTGTGATCACCAGCGTTTAGGAATCGACACCTGGAGCACCGCGCGCTCTGGAGCCCGCCCGTTAAAGGCAGGCCGTGCTGTGCGCCAAGGAGCCCAGTGCGCAGCGAGGCCGCGTCGGGCGGAGGCCGTGCTGAATCGGGACCTGGCAACCAAGCCAGCAGAGCCGGCGTCTGGCATGTCAGGTGACCCGCCTGCCCGGGAGGTCATCTTTTCCTCGGTGCCACAAACCTCGTCTGCCCCAAATTTTACTCTCCGATTTTGAGACTCAGACAATGGAGCTCATGGAGTCTGGCTGAAAAGCTGGGATGAAAGTAACTTGCCCCAAACACGCTAAATTTCAAGTGATCAGGACGAAGGAAACTTAAGAGCCTCTCCCTTCCGTCTGAGGACGTCCTGGCCGCCACAGCCGTGACGCAGAGCAGCTAAGCAGCGCAGCGCTGGCCGCTCCCAGACCCTCACCAAGTTTGTCTGTGGAGGAGATAATGTCAGCGGGCACGGACGAGTCCAGATCGGCGTCCAAAATCCCCAGGGGGTCCAGCTGCGCTACATGGTGCCCTCGTATCTACGGATGGGCCAGCGAGGGAGGGGGACACACACAAAAGGACAGGAGAAAAAAAAGAGGGAAGGGGTAAAAAAAAGTAAAATTACATTAAAATTAGCATTTACAGATTAATTCTCACCCACGTTTGAAGAAACAGTTACCGGAGCATCATCAAAATTTACACAACTAATTCCGAGAGGATCAAGTTTTGCAATGTGGTGACCCCTGACCTGGAAGCAATAACACAAGCAGTCGTTAAGCAGGACCCGCGGGCTGTGGGGGGGAAAAGTTACACTTGGTCAAACTTGAACCCAAAGTAACAAAATTAGTTAAAAAAAAAAAAAAAGCCTTCAAACATTTTATCGTGAAAGTGCTCTTGTGCTTATAAAAAGAGATAAACTCGGGTCACAGTAAACTGGGCAGTTCTGGGGACCCTTGCAGTTCCCCTGGATAAATGAAGTGGGACATGGGTTGATGCCCGCGTGGGGCCACGCAGCTCAGCACGTTAGTGCCCCCGAGGAGGGGAGCCCAGGCCCCACCGAGGGGCGCTAGGACTTCGGTTTCTGATCTGAACTAAGAAGCAAAAGGAGGAAGACAATCCCTCCCAACTTCCAGTCTTGGCTACCGGACCCACGACTGTTTGAGAGCGGGTGGCTGCTGAGGGGGACCTGGGACCGCGCGAAGTTACTGAGGCTACACGAGGCGGGCAACACCCACCAAATGCACCTTCCTCCAGAAATGACCACTGAACAACGCTCCAGAGCACATGGCCACGCCGACCCCATGGCTCGGAGCGCCTGCCCACTCGCCAGGACCTGCTGTCCCGACCCGTGGCGTCTCCTGGAAATGTGCTCAGGGGAGACGAGAACTCCATGTGGTCCCTGGAAGAGGCGGCGGCAGGGGAGCCCAGGTGCCCAGGGACCCTGGAAAGGACTCCCCCCGCAGGCCTGATTTCTCCTCCTGTCTTCAGAGCTACTCTCATCTCAGAGCAGGTGTTCTGGTCTGAATTCTGGGCTCCTCCCTGCCAGGGGGAGAAAGGTGGGGGGAGCCCCACGTGTCCTGCCCAACAGCCTCTGACGGCATGGACCGCTAACTGGAAGACTCCTGGAGACCGCCTGCCCCTCACCCACCTCTCATGCACTCGTGGGCTCTGCTTCTGTCCCAAACTCTACAGGTTCATTTCCTCTGGTCGGATGTGGGTGCTGGCGACTGAGAAGGGGGCGCACCCCTTCCGGTCACTGCTCCCTCCTGGTGATCAGCAGCCCCCTCGACACCCCAGCAAGGACGGCTTTTCCCTGCCCACAGCTTTGCTTGCCAACTTGTGGAAAGAAATAGGAGCTGTTTATAGGGCAGGTGCTACGGGCAGCAAACGTGCTCAAGCGGGGTCAGATTGTCCGTCCCGGCTCTCCGGCTCCTGGCGTATTTCGTGTTTGCCCCCCCCGGCTCCCGGGCACGGAGAGGTGCCTGGTTCCACGACACGTCAGTCGGGGCGCCCTCCGTTGCTGACGTACCGCCGGCCGGCGGGTGGGCCTTACCTGGTAGGCTCTGATGAGAGACTGCACTGCCAGGTGGTCCTCCACCAGCTTGTCCACGTTGGGCTGGGCGTCCACCAGGGGCTGTGCTTGCGCCACGGCAGACAGGGAGCCCGGGCTCAGGGGGAGCGGGCTCTGGTAGGCGGTGCCCGGCAGCGCTCCAGCGTTGGTATTTCGGAAGAAAATGTCCCACGACTAAAGACAAAGAAGGAACTCGCATTACCCCATGGCTCACCTAGGACGTAGGACTCGTTTTCAGCTCCAAAGAGCAGTGTTCTTGGCAGGCAAGTCACGTCCCGGTTATATTCGCCCGCCAGCAGGCTGGTGGGGCGACTTGCTCCTACGCTGCACAGCCCGATTCCGCCCCAGAAGAGTGGGGCCCTGCTTCCATTATTCCCCCGGGATGCCCCCTCTTACCCCACCCCTAAGACACAGATTATGTAAGGCTGCCCTTCCATCAAAACCCCAAAGGCCCAAGGTCACACAGCTCTGCGGCACTCCAGTGACATGCCGACTGCTTCGGGGCGGGCGGCCCGGGAGGCAGGTGAACAGAGGCCTTCCTGCCCCATCTGGCCCCGGCCCAGTTATCTGGAAGACCAGCGCTCCTGGCCCTTGTCTGCAGCTGCCCCGACGGGACCACCTGAGGGTGGCCGAGCATTCCAAGTCTCTCTCCAGACCCAGAGGCTGGGCACAGTCTTGGGGGGCCCGGGCTGGCCTTGCTCATGCTTGTGTTCCCAGGTGCAAGATGGAATTGGGGCCCTTGTAAGGAGCCCAGGGCTCGTATCTGGAAGCCTGCCATGCTCCTTCACTGGCCGCTGGAGAAACGGCCCCGTCTGTAATTCAGGAGGGCCACTTAGGAGATGCGGGGTGCGGGCTCAGAGACTGAACTTGGGATCTCAGCTCCGACACATGGGTGAGTCACCCAACTTCCTGTGCTCTGTCACCTGTAAGAGGAGGACACCTGTGCGTAACCCTCGCAGGTCTGTTGTAGAGATCGAATCACATGGCTAAAGACTCTTCTCAGAACGCAGTCCGTGGGCAGCAAGAACTTCACTGGCGTTACCGCTGCTTGTGATTTCCTCTGTGCCAACACGAACGATCTCATTTCCTTCTGTCCTTCTGTTCTCGGTATTCCGTGCTCGGAAGATTCCATTTGCAATTTACAGAGATACCATGAACTACGACAGTTTATCACCTCAAGCAAAGATGTAAGGTTTCCAAAAAAACATATTTCCGAGCTCAGAGAACTGAAGGCTTAATAACATTCCTTTGGAAAAAAGAACACTATTGAAAACCAGCAAGTTCAGACACACAAAAATGTCATCCTTCCTCAGTGTCTGAGGACCTTTCTGTCAGTAAGCAGATTGAGACCCATGACAAACGCTGCTGGACTTTTGTGCCCACCATCCCAGGAGGAGCTACCGGGATGCTGTCCCGAGGAGCTCGGCCAGGGCTCGGCGGGCATCACATGGGTGGTCCGTATGCGGACTGACGCCATGGCGTGGGTCCTCACGGTCTTCTGGCTTTCTCAGGCAGGCTCTGTTCGGGGCTGTTCGGGGTCACTCAGGGGCCTGGCGCACTTCCTCACGTGGGGCAGCCTGGCCTCTCCCTACAACTGCTTTGGAGGGAGCTTTGCAGAACATTTAAATTATTCTACAATGACAACGTATTCTCCCTTTTGTGTTCAGAAAAGGTAATTTTTAAAAATCCAATCATTAGCGGGATGACCATCCAACACGGAGTGGTACACTTTATGTGATTTTGTGTCTCGGTAACAGTTTTAAAATGTTTTAACCCATTAGTCCAGGTTTTACTGTTTTTACCTCGCTGGTTAATTTTCAGCGTGTCAGCTGATGGTAGACAGGATGTGGGGCTCTCTCCCGGCACCTGCCTTTACCGCCGACATAAAGCCTCTTGTGCAACAAAAACTGACAGCCGGGGCACCCTCTGCAATCCAGGCCCCGGGGGCCCAGGCCCTCCCCTCGCCCCTCCAACTGGTGCCAACTCTCTGGCCCTCCTCTGACATGGGTGAAGGGCAGCGTGTTCACCAGGGAAGACAGCTGCCTTCGTTTCTGGAGGGAAAGAGGCCACCTGAGTATCGACTCCTAAGGGAAGGGAGGCTGCCTCTCTGCTCCCACCTGCTTCGCTACAAGGATACAAGGCGCTAACACACTGGACCCCCCACGTACTTCTGACCTCGTGGAGCTCTTCCAGTACGTCCAAGTGAGCCCCTGCATCTGGGGAGTGGCTCTGGCCCAGGGCTCTCGCTGGCCTCCGTCCAGGCCTCCAGTGACCGAGGGCCTGGCCCAGAAGGAGCCCCTCGGAGGCGGCAGTGAGGCAAAAGCCAACAGCATACCGCCCAGAGCACTGGGACGGCCAGACCATGGGGACGGCCACAGGGACACGGGTCAGCGGCAGCCCTCACGTAAACACCATCGCGCACCCGCCCACCCTGCCGAGGAAATGCAGACATGAAAGGCCTCTCCAGCGGAGGCGGAGGGCACAGCCAGAGACAAGAGCGGCAGGGGCCCCATCCAGCCCGGCCCCGGGAAGGGGGGGCGCAGGCGATCGCCACCATCGGGCCTCCTCTCTCTGACCTTCTTTTGTGCTTGGAGTCAAACTCCAGGTGATCTCCAATTGGCTGAGGACAAACCCACAGCTGCAAACCCGGCTGGTGCTGGAGGTGGTCAGAAGAAACTGGTTCACTCCAGTCCTGCAGGGACGGGGAGCCAGCAGCAGGACCACAGCTGAATGCGGCGCCTGCCTCCCGTCACTCACCCCCACACCCAGCCGGCCTGGACACCTGCCCTCCAGCGGGCCCCCCCCAACAGCAGCGGGCCGCCTGCCACCAAGACCCGGGAGGCTTTCACACGCAGACCTCTGCAGCGGGACTCCGGGGCGGCGTGGCTGCATGCTCTTGCACACCCACCGCCCCTCAACCTAAAACGGGCACGTTTCAGGGTCACCCAGACCTCACCAAAGCTCAATGAATAGGTCTCTGGAAGCGGAGGTCATGTTTTGGCTGCAGGCCTCACCACCCCACAGAGCTGCTTCCATCCCTCCAATGGTTTCTGCTGCCCAAGGAGCCTCTCTCCCTCCCTCACCCCTGCCCCCGAACCCAGGGCGGGGGGGCGGGGGGACACGGGGCCTCGTCATCACCCGGAGAGGGCTTCCTGTCCGAGGGGCGCAGCCCTCGCTGGTGCACACCTCAGCAGCAGGTTTTACAGACCTGCACGCTCACCGGCTGCCACACTCGTGGAGAGGGGGCCGCGAGGCTGCAGCGGCCCGTCAGGGGAGCCCCTCCCTCTGGAGGAGGAAGTTTCCAGCAGAGGATGTCTGCCCCGCCCACCTGCTCCGTGGGGGCGAGCAGCCCCAGGCTTGAGTGGGTGCAAACACGTGCGCACAGGGCACATTCGCATTCCTCTCCGAGCCAAACCCATTCCTTGTCTGGACACCCCAACCCTGGGGCTCCAGCAGTAACTGCAGCGACAAAGCCGGAGCGAAAGGAAACCCAGGGACCGGCCGGTGGGGCAGATTTCACAGCACAGACCCTAAGAGCGCGTCTGGCAGAGTCTCTGGAACACCCCTGACCAACAGGGCACAGCCGACCCTGGCTGTGGTCTGGGGCTGCGGTACTTGGCCCAGAGGGTGGCCTTCTGTGTCAGATGCAGCCGGGCCATGCGCTCACCGCCTCCTCCAAGTGCCACGCAAGCCACCAGCCACCACAGACTCACGCCGGGGTCCACACACCCCGTCGCCAACCTCTCCATCTGCCTCTGGCGCACAACCAACCCCCCGAGGAATCTCTCCGTCCCCCCGCCTGCCCTTGAACCTACCAGTGGCTGCCAACGGACGCTCCGTCCTCTGTGCACCGCTGGAGAGGGAGTGGTGGCCTGAGCACCAGGGCGACGAGAGAAGGCGCCTGCCCCCGGGGGGCCAGCTCCTCGACCCAGCAGGGCGGGAGGCTTCCAGGGACGTTCTGCCCGCACTGGAGCGGGCTTCCCAAAGGCACTCGGGACATGCGCAGGCAGCGCTCTGTGACCAGGTGAGCATGTCACTCACAAGTTCAATCCCACGGACACCCGCGGAGGCTGCCTCTGCGCAGCCTGCTTTCAGGTTTGGGGACGGTGGACGACCACACAGAGCCCCTCCCTCAGGAACGGCAGGAACAGGAGTGAGCGTGGGAATTCGGGGGCAGAAGATGGGACTTCGGGGGCAGCTAGTGCCGTGAGCCCTGCGGGACAGGGTGACCCAGTAGAGACAAGACTGCAGAGTTGGATGGAGCCAGGCCACAGGCCAGGTGGGAAGAGGGGACAGCCATCAGTGGAGCTGAGACCATCACTTGTTGCTGAAATGACCTCACCAAAACACGGTAGGTTTTAAGTGTGAATGAGTAGAGTATTATGGTTGAAACGACACCAGAATTCTGACTTCCAATTTCACATGAACGAAAGCATTCACCTATAGCCTCGAAGCTCTGTTCCAAAATCCATCACCCCCACACCCTGCCAATCTCCCAGACCTCCCGTACCCGCGACGGGCTCTCCCGGCCGTCACACACCGTCTCTCCTAAGCAGAGGAAGCCCTTCAAAGGCTGCGCACGGGTCCCTTTCCCTCTGCAATGTCCTAAGGAAGCTACTCCAGGCTTTGCACACAGCAGAGTCAAATTCAGACAGGTTCAGACTCCTCCTGAGGGTGAACAGCCTGACAGGTCAGCTGCGGTGCCAGGTGGGGTGGCAGGTGCACTATGGGGGGGTGGCAGGTGAGGGGTCAGCTGTAAACACCTGTGGCCTCCAGAATCGAGAGGCTCCACCTCACCCGGAAAAGGTGCTGATGCTGGTGAATGTGGCACATGGGTGTGAGGAGTTAGTGAGGCAAGGGAACCCTGCCCTCAGTTACTTCTTGTCAGCAGATCACAGGCGCCTCAGGGACCAGTTCCTGGCCGTGGAGTTCGCATCAGAGATTGTTCACGCGGCGCTTCAGTGTCGGGAGGGGCGGCAAGCACGCCACCCCGAGCCCTTCCCCCCGCCTGGAAGGCCCCCAGGGTGTGTGTGACTGGCGGCCAGCCGAGTGCGCGACCTAAGGGCCCCACGCACAGCGAGTGCACCGTGGTGGCGAGCCCGCCTCCCACCGGCTGGGCAGGGAAGCCGCTCCAGCTGTGCGCCTGCCAGATCCTGGCCCGCGAGCTGAGGGAG